AAAGTTGATTGTCTCCTTAAGTGATAGTATCTAATATGATTTTATCACTTATAAAAATTATTAAGTAAGCTGTATCATTGATAACTCCAATACTCGTATCACTTTTTGGTTTGCTGGCCCGCTGTCTCGTCCTGACCTCGTCGTTACCTAATCATACCGGACAGGAAGGAGCGACGCTGCTCCCATATCAATTCTTCCACCTCCCTGGTGGTCAACCCAATGTTGCATACTTTATGCCTCCGGACAAATAATATTCGCGTGCGGCATAAAAAGCATTGTTGTTTTGCGTTTTGAGTGGCATGTACCGTTAGTTACAGTGGCCCCCAAAAATATATGTGTAACAAGCTCGGCGATTACACGACCTCCCCCGACAGCGATCCAATGTGAATAACTTTGCCCCGTTCTGTGGCCAGCAGCGGAAAACTCGAAAAAGAAAGCAAATCAAGTGCACAGAGGGAACGATTTTCAATTTTTTTCAGTTTTTCTTATTTGACAAATAACTTTGCCTACCGATGGGTGGCAACTGGAAAAGGAAAACAACATCAATGCAGTCAAACATGGGGGGGTGGGATTTGTGGAAGGCGCGCAGCCAGCGGCTGAGCTTAGGGGCGTGCACCCACCTCTAAGCGTTCGCCAAGCCTCCCTTTTCCGTTGCACAATGCGATTCACGATGCTCTTATGTGTGGTATGACTGCTGGGTTGAATTTCTATCGATGATTAGAAAAGGTTTCTCGCAATTCTCCACTTAGGAGAAGAATCTACATTTCCAATAAGCTGTAGAATTTAATATTCCATAAGTCTGTTAAAACTGCATTTGTTAATGCAAAAAGTTGTATAATTTATTAACATATAATCAGGGATATTTGTTTTCAAAACAAAATTTTGGTGAAATGTTGAATATCAACTATAACGAATTCCTGTCTTGACTACCACTAAATCTGTCCCTTTCTACAACTACATTTTTTACTGGCAACTGTTGTTTGTTTATTTCTCGCTGGAAGTGCAAAGCATTAAAATATGTATAATCCCACCAGCAGCAGTGGCACTCATCCCGCTTTTCACTTTCCACCCGCAGCTGCATTCGCTTTTTAGCAGCATGAGCAGCACAACAGTTTCACCTCGCTTTAGCTCCACCCTGCGCCCCCTTGCTTTTATGCGTGTGGCTGCAAAAAAAAAAAAAAAACAGTAACAAAATAAAATAGAAATTTCAACGGAAACGCAAAATTTTATAATGGCGCCCACGGAGCGTATGAGTGCTAGAGTTGCCATGCCGACATTCACATGCAATTTATGCAGATGATGCGAGAACAATAGACTGGAGGGATATTTCTGACATTATGGTACTGATGTATGGGGGTCAGATCATAGAAGCATCAAAGGTATTAAGTAGTGGGAACTCTGAATAGAGGATCGCACCTTCAGTTTGTTACTTGTTAACGATCAACAATCACGTGGGACTGTGAATCAAAACACTAATAGCTGTCAACTGGCTTTTAATTATCCTTCGACGTTTTAAAATCCAGGCACAGCTTAGCCTGCCATAATCCCCATTTTGGACTATCAGACTAAGCCGGTTATTACCTGATACATCACACGCCCTTTGTCGCCTCTTTGGGCTTTGAACAAATAAATAACTTGCCGCTCTACACAAATATCAGAGTCACATGCCACCTATGTAAACGTATACATATCACTTATGTATATCGCTTTCAATATTTCATATACACGACATGTATTTGTTGTGAGCCGCGACACCCTCTCCGCCCGACTAAACCGTGACTGGTAACTAATTTGAAAGTGGCCCAACGTACCCGGCCCGTACTCTTTCCAACTCGTGATTTTTTCTATATTCCCGACTTATATTTTTTATTGGTGCACCGCCTCCCATCACGTAAACTGCCGTTTCCATGTTGTGCGGCGCTCTTTTTTGTAATTGCCTTGACCAGCGTAGATATTATTTTATTGTGTAAGTTTTTCGTTTTTTTCGGGCTTATATACAATACATAAATATATATATATAGACATATTTGCATATACGGGTATTCTATGGCTGTACATGGATTTAATGCATTCGAGGGTTGCAGTTGAATTTTTAACCCATATGCAGTGTCCCTAGGCGGGAAGGCTGGAATAGGTATTCTCTATTGGAAGTCATGTGAAGAGGTACAGTGTTAGCAAATGAGTCTACCTCCAGTTCCTTAGCTGCCAAGACATATTCCTAAGCAGAGAGGAAACTACCTCAATTTCTCTTCAATTTCTTTTGCCAATCGAGTAGGAAAGGGTCTCCACCTAGCCGTATCTTTGGCTATTGAAGGACCAGCCACAATAAGAAAACATACAAAATTTCCATTAATTAAAACGAAACAAGAAAGGTGAAAGAAGAGGTAAGTAACTGGACTTTGACAAAGACTTGATGTCCAGGAAGTTACAACATTTTTCGAAGTCCAAGCCTGAGACAGAAAAGGAACAACTCCGTTGGGAGTCCTTGTGACTCAACGCGGTCGGGGCCAGGACTCTGCTTGAGCTCCTCTTGCACGACTTTGGCTAAGGAACTCATCCAGGGCAACCTTGACTTAGCCAGCAGCCGCATGCCAAAGATGAGGGGCAGTCCCTGCCTGGCAAGTAATTTGTTTTGGGCCTGACAGCAGCCCACTAGGCGTATGAGTAACACCTGCCAGCCAGAGAAGCGCACGAACACGCATACGCACACGCACTGGAATATTCGGAGACGGGCCATAAATCCTAGCATTTATTTCCATTTCTCGTCTCGTCTGCGAGCTGGGGAAAGTTGCTTTTGAAGTCTCACACAAATTTGTAACCCTTTTTCGGCTGGGGAAAGCAGGAAGCTCCTAGGAATATCAGAAATATGCGGGTTTTTGGCATCTTACGAGCAAAGTCCTTTGCCGTAAGCAGTGGCAGGAGGCGGTGTGCTCAGAGTTCGATGCAGAAGCCAGCTCCCAAAACTAACAGCCCAACGAGGTGACAGGGTGGAGGATAAACATGTGCTGCTGCTCCTGCCTGCCAGCCTAAAAGCAGACTTTGACTTCGCCAGTGTCGGTGTCTGTGTGTGTGTGAGTCTGGAGCACACCACTACCACTACAATGCCGGCAACCTCTAAGCACACCCATAATGAATTACCGCCCTGCCAGGAAGCTGCCTGGCCCTGCGATCCTTCCCCTCCCGCCGCCAACTGCCGATGACATATTTCTCCAGACGGAGGCAGGAGCTGCGCCTAGAAGGCAGCTAAGAAAATTTGCGTTTAGCTCATAAGTGCGTGAAAGGGTTGCCAGGTCCTGGGCCCCAGTCCCAGTCCCCAACGCCAGCCCACTCCCGTTCCAAGTTCCCCAGATCCAGAGTGAACAACATCCCTGCCAAGGGGTTGCCTCTGTGCACTGTCAAGGAAATTGTAGTTTAAATGAAATGGAAGTTGCTTTTATCAACGACGAAGGCGGAGGACTGGGGTCGGGGCTGGGGTCTGGGGTTCTGGATTCGGAGTGCTACTAGTGTGGGGCTAGTGTGTGTGAGCTTTCTTAGAAGTTCCTCTCCTCGAGTGTGTGTGTCGTATATAAATTAAAATGCCTAAACATATGCATTAGTTTTTGTCTCAGTCCCACTCCATCGCTCCCCCAGCGCTCTTGTGTGTGTGCCGGGGCTTGGGGTAGCTCCAAAGTTTTTGTGGTTACGACATCGGTTTTCGGGGGAGGTGCGAGTGGATGCTTGAGACGGGCTCGGCCGGGAAAGGCTGCGGGGAGCGGGGCGGACTGTCAGTCTCGAGTCGGTCTCGAGCTGTGGCCTGACAACTTAGTCTAATGAGAATTCAAATTCGAAACCCAACTACGCAATCGTGCTGAAGAAATTAAAAGAAATTGCACATGATGTGTTTGAGTGGGGGCGCTTGTGGGTATCGAACGGAATGATGTACATATGTGTACACGTAAGGTGGGCGGAAGGTTGGAGGCTGTAAGCAATAAAGCAAATATTTGTTTCACTTTCTGGCAATAGACTCGAAAATATTTGTTCAAACTCCACAGAAGAGCAGAAAAGGGAAATGAAGTTTACTGGGGGCCCCCCGAAAAAAATGTCACATCGTAATTAACTTATGAATAAGGCAGGTACAGCCTGCTTTACAGACCAGGAAACAGATAAAAAAGTTACAGCTCCATTTTGCTCCTCGAAGCACGTCAAAAATCATTCCCTGGGGCTATCCACCCATGTGTCCCTGAGATCCAGCAAATTAATGTTAATTAAGACTCGCAGTCCTTCTACATTTAAAGGGAAAAATGAGGAAGCATCAATCTCGATGGCCATCCACACGGAACACAGCTTTATTTGTGCTGCCAGCACCAGTCCCAGTCCCATTTTAAGAACCCACTCCACCCCACATCGGGAGTGTCCTTCAACCACAAAACCAAAGGAGAGCGGAGGAAAAAAGCTTGTGTGTCGGACGCCAACGTCTTGGGCGAAATGTTTCATTAGAGCCATGTTGGCCGCAAATGGCAGGAAGGGAACCGAGCCACCGAGTGACCCGACCCCCGGCACCCAAGTAGACTAATTTCCAGTGCACAAAAGCGAACTGTGAAAAAAGGCAACCCCAAGAATGGACAGCAGGGAAAAGGAGCAGATTGAGGGTGGACTGGACCTGGCCTGAAGATGAAAGTCGGAAAAACTTTCCCCTTGAATCTCTGGCCGGGGTAGCTCGGGAAGCTTTCTTTGACGTTGCGTCTTTTTGCATTCTTTTGAATGGTCTAACGAACTTCCACCAACTGGTTCTACTTCTAATCATTGGGATTTGGCATATCGAACGCAGTCCCGAAACTTTTTGCGGTCTCCGCCAAGCTCTCTTATGGACCCCCTAAAAAAAAGGAAAGACCGAAGATAAAAATGATTTTAAAAAAATACCTTGGCCTTTCGGGTTAAGCTAAAAAAATTTTATATATATAAACGTTAAACAATATATTTCGACGAAAATTTGTGTACTCATTCTGCCATTTTCTTCACAGGAAACTATTCCGGCAACACCGGTCGTAAGCACCGACACCTCCACCGGCCTGGTCGGTGTGGGCGCGGTCGGCGGCGCAGGAGGAGGAGGCGGGTCTGGGACTGGAAGCGGCGGTGGCGGCATTGCCGGCGCTGGGGGTCTCCTGGGCGAAGTGGTCAGCGGCCTGGGCGGCGGCGGAGCCAGCGAGTCGGAGGCCTACGCTGGACTGATGAAGGACGCCGACAAGCTGAAGCTGATGCTGCTGGCCTGGAACTACCAGAACTCGACGGCGGTGCGCAACGGAACCGAGGGTCCGGACCTGAGCGTGGTGGGTGGCCTGTGGGCGCAGTACCAGAACGCCCTAGCCCAGAACGCCGCGGCAGCAGCGGCGGCCAGCGTCAAAATGGACAGCTCGCTGTCGCCGGTGCCGCGGCAGGACGCCCACTCGCCGATGGAGACGCAGGACGAGACGAACTCGTCGGGCCAGAAGGAGGAGGACGAGGTGTCTGAGGACGACTCCGACGACAAGCTGGACGAGAAGCTGGCCACCACCCACGATCCCGAGCGGCTCAAGGCCTTCAATGTGAGTAAAGCGAGAGCTGTGAGTGAGCGGCGAATGTAAAGCCAAGCGTTGCCAAAGATTCGCCAGAGATCCTGGTCAAGGTTAGGAGTCGGGTCACTAACCCTACCCTCCATCCCTTTCAGATGTTCGTGCGGCTGTTCGTCGACGAGAACCTGGACCGCATCATTCCCATCTCGAAGCAGCCGAAGGAGAAGATCCAGGCCATCATCGACTCGTGTGCCCGACAGTTCCCCGAGTTCAGTGACCGATCCCGCAAACGCATCCGGACCTATCTCAAGTCGTGCAGGCGCAACAAGAAGACCCGCGATGGATGGGAGAATACGGTAAGTGGAGGCTCCACGGTCAACATATCGTGACCATTTCAGTCCCTTAACTGATTTTATCATTTCGGCACTGCTTGCTTCTGTTGCAGACCCGACCCACGCCCGCCCACCTGACGTCCGTGCAGGCGGAACAAATCCTGGCAATCGCCTGCGAGAACGAGTCCATGAACGCCAAGCGGATGCGCATTGGCCTGGAGCCTATCACCCATGCAGTTCCGGCGCCGGGCAGTGCTGTGGCAGCAGCAGCAGCGGCAGCGGCAGCCGCCGCTGTCGTGGCAGCTACTAGCTCCGGGGCCGGCGGCACCAGTACCACCTCTGCGGGCAACGCCACGGTTACCTGTGGCGGCGGAGTGGGCGGAGCCGCGGATGCCGCCGGTCTAACAAGCGTAGCAGCCGCAGCATTGCCCTTCGTCAGTGCCGTCGGCTTTGCCCGATCCACACCCAACTCGGAGCACGCGGACGGGCTGCCTTTCGGGGCGGTGGGCACTGTGGGCGGCATTGGCAGTGGGGGTGGCGGCAGCACCAGCGGGGGTGTTGCCGGTGGGGGCGGTGGTGGCATGAGTTCCGCACGCAGCTCTCCGCTGGCTCTTAGCTCGAACGCCAGCGTAAGTGGCGGCGCCAGTGTCACCGGCCTAACTTTGGCCAATGGGGCCGGGGCCTCGAACGGAGCCGGACTGCCGGCCAGCAGTCCCTACACTACGGACTTTAGCTCACCTTCGACAGCCTCGCCATTCGTAGCGGCAGCAGCGGCAGCGGCGGCGGCAGTTTCTGCAGGTCGGGCTCCCAGCTATCCCGGCTATTTTCCGGGGGTGGCTGGCCTAGGAAATGGTAAGTAGCCAATCGTCTTTTATAGAGTATATTAGTAATCTTGATGGTATCATTTTAGTTACGCCCACCGATCTCTCGATGAAGCCGACCAGCCTGGCTAGCGGTCTCGGCGGAAACCTGGTCAGCAACAACAGCAGCAACTCCGCGGCAGGCAACATGAACTCGCAGCTGAGCGCCGCCAACTTGGCCAGCCTAAGCAACGTGAACAATAACAACGCCCTGGTGACCGCCACCCAGCAGCTGCAGCAGCTCCAGCAGCAACAGCAGCAGCAGCAACAGCAGCAACAGCAGCAGCAACAGCAGCAGCAGTTGCTCGTGGGCGCCGGAGGCGGTGGCCTGGATTCACAGGCCAACCGGGCGCCGCCCATCCTGCCGCACAAGCTGAGCGCCAACGAGGTGACCGCGGCCCGGCAGGTGATATCTGCGTACCGCGAGAGCGCCGCCTTCCTGCTGCGGACCGCCGACCAGGTGGAGCAGCTGCTCGTCCAGCAGCAGTAGGCGACGGCGGCGGCGGCGGCGGCGGACGTGGCCCCTAGGTTCGAGACCCAAGCGGTGCCAGGCGCGCGCGGGTTGTTCCTATTTTAAATGAAATTTAAAATGAATTACACTCTCCGACACACAAGCCAAACTAAGCGAAAATAGTCAAACCGTAGAGCCAAACGAAGAAAGAGCCATCCGGCCGATAGTCAAAGCAGCTCGTTCAAACGAAACATTTTAAGTGTTTTTTCCTCCACTACGTACAGCATACTTAAAATAGAATTTAACGATAAACAAAAACCAAAAGAAATATTGAAAATATCACAACAGTAAGGACATTAGAGCTGCCGCGATTCGCTGACTTGTTTCCGAACTTCATTTCAACACTGAACCTCTGACTGGCTTTAACGTAACCTTGTTTGAAACTGCTAATATCGGGTAACAATAAATTAATTAATTCGAATTGGAACAGATACACGAGATACACGAGAAAGTCGTGAAATCATATTACTTTGGCGTAAATAAGGCCATAGTCTTATCCTCGAACTATTTCTTCGCAAATTATCGATACTAGCTACAAATCAGATGGCAAAGCAGCTCTAATAGTAATAAAACCAAGCAACAGTTCAACATACTACAGTGTCTACTAAAAGTAAACCTACAATAGCCATACACTAACACTCGCATCGATTTTGTTTGGACCTTTCATTTTTACGCATTTTTTAGGCTCTCGTTCTTCGGAGAGCCGACGATTCCGGGCCCGTTTTCAAAGTGCGCGATTTGTTGAAAAAGGTTAAAACTAATAACTAATAAATAAGTTGAAGTATTGTTGTAAATTTTAAGCAAATTGATACAAAAACTTTTAAGAAAAACGAAAACAAAAGAAAAAAAACGTAAAACTATGAGAAAACACAGGGTGATACTTTGAAAAATTATTAAAATGCATAAGCTAAAAATTAATAAGAGGAAAAACAAGAAAACGTAAAAAAAATGGATCTGAAGTATGGCATAGATGTTGGTAAATGTGTATTTAACGTTTAGAAATTACATTTGTATACTGTTTTCCAGGATTCATTGTTTTAAAATTAATATCCATTGAGTTTTGTCCGACCTCCTCTATTTTAGGTGTATATACTTTAAGGGATTTATTCTGAAACATTTTAAGTTTGACTGTTGCTTTTTACTCACACTCGATTATTGAATAGATACTGAATAAATATTTAAATACAAAATAGCCATTCATGTTTTTTGCAAATATAAATGTGCATAAGATAAGGAACCAAACACGTAGAATCACTTACAACATCGGTTATGTATGAGTGTGAAGTGGAATGGAGAAGCGCGATGCAAGGCAAATTATAGAATTTAATTATATAAATAAATTGCTAAAATTATTTAACCAACAAATAATTATTGGATAAACCCAAATAAATACTCGAAAGAACCTCGATGATTGCTTGGAGGGCAGATATTTATACGGAATACTTAAATATAACATAATGTGTGGCATTTGCATAGAAGAGTAAACTAATTAAACCAAAAGAAGGCGACACAAAAGAAACAAGACATTTTAAAAATCGAATTAATAAAGAATTTATGAGAATTATATGTACATTAACCAATGACTTTTTATTTATCGGTCCCAGTGGCTTTAGGCTCGCATCTTTAAAAGACTCTTTGCAAAGATTGCTCCGATCGATTATTAAAGAAAATTAAGGTTTTTGATGCAAAAAAACAAATGGACGGACTGGACATAGACAGATTAAATTGACTAGTGATGTTGGGTATGGTGGGGTATGGGCTTGGAGATCCAGGCGTTAAATCCTGTTCAATTATTACTTTTTTAACTTTCACAAAATAGATTTTTTTCTAAATTTGTATATTTTTTATTTGGCATTTCACAGAAAAATTACTACATTTTTAATTAAGTCTTCACAATTATATTAAACCAAATTATAGAATTTGCTGGCTTGAAGAAATTTAACATAGAATTTTACACGTTTTTAACATCTTACATGTAAGATTCATGGCGCCCCCTACCGAAATAATTGCGCAAAAACTACGCTTACGTGAACTGCCACTAGTGGCGCCATCTTAGACATCTTAGACCAGCGTTGCCAGACTTTTCGGTCCCAGCTACCAGCGTTGCCAGACTTTTCGGTACTTACATTTGACATTCTACATGAGAATTCGACCCCAAGCATGTAAAACTCTGTTTTGACATTTTACTTTGAAATTCAGAGTGACCAAGGAGAAATTTTATACTCAGCCGTAATGAATAGAATAAAACAATAAAAACGTCCCAGACTGGAATACTGATCCATTATCTGAACACCAATAGATTGTGATACCAGACCAGGATCATATCCGTCAAGAAATGGTTTACCTAAATTTTCTTAGATGGTAAAGAATTAAAAGATTATTAAATCCAATACACGAAAAGCCTCTTTTGGATCTTCTAATGAGTTTAAAAATTTTCGTTTTTAATAGACCTATAAAAATATACTTAAAAGCCACTAGTTTCAAATAAAAAAATTAATTAAAAGTTAATTAAGATTTTTCCCAAAATTGTTCAAATTAATTTCAAAGATAGATTATAAGAAGCTGTTACGAGTAGTAAGAACTTCTAAAAGGTGTGTTTTTTTAATTCTAGGTCGATTTGAGTCAGATCGCAAAATTTTTATTATGATAGGGTAGAAACAAAATGTTTTTCTTTTACTTTCTGTTTTACTACAGATCGCATGTATCAGGTTACAGACTTGGCTGAGAGTTCCAAAATCTCTTATTATATTAGAATATATTATTTTCCAAAGAGGTTTCCAAAAGGTATTTGAGGTCTCGCTGGGCGCGAACTGAGCTGTATTGGCCTTGCTGGAAGCAAAGGAGGTAAAGGTAAGGGCAGCAGACCTATAACAGCAGATTCAGCTTCCGGTAAATTTCCTGGAATCGGTAATGGCGGTAATCGTGGTAATGGTGGTAATGATGGTAATGATGGTAATGGTGGTAGTGCTGGTAATGCTGGTAATGGTGGTAATGGCAGTAATGGTGGTGGAAATGGAAGGCCAGGTGCTCCAACAATCTCATGATAGTGATGATGATGATGATGTTCATGATGCGGCTGGGGACCTGTGGCCTGAGTTGTGTCCTCACTGGTTGATGTTGTTCTGATTTCTTCAGTCGTCGTAGGAGCATCAGTAGTAGTCGTTACTTCTTCAGTAGTAGTCGTTACTTCTTCGGTCGTCGTTGAAGCATCAGTAGTAGTCGTTACTTCTTCAGTAGTAGTCGTTACTTCTTCGGTCGTCGTTGAAGCATCAGTAGTAGTCGTTACTTCTTCAGTAGTAGTCGTTACTTCTTCGGTCGTCGTTGAAGCATCAGTACTAGTCGTTACTTCTTCGGTCGTCGATGAAGCATCAGTAGTAGTCGTTACTTCTTCAGTAGTAGTCGTTACTTCTTCGGTCGTCGTTGAAGCGTCAGTAGTAGTCGTTTCTTCTTCAGTGATAGTCGTTACTTCTTCAGTAGTAGTCGTTACTTCTTCGGTCGTCGATGAAGCATCAGTAGTAGTCGTTACATCTTCAGTAGTAGTCGTTACTTCTTCGGTCGTCGTTGAAGCATCAACAGTAGTCGTTACTTCTTCAGAAGTAGTCGTTACTTCTTCGGTCGTCGTTGGAGCATCAGTAGCTGCCGTTAATTCTTCGGTCGTCGTTGTTGAACAGAAAGGCAATTGCGGAAATAGTCTACACAAAATCGCTTCAATGGATTCAGTTGTTGCTAGCGACGTTGTCGTTACTTCTGCAGTCGTCGTTGAAGCATCAGTAGTAGTCGTTACTTCTTCAGTAGTAGTCGTTACTTCTTCGGTCGTCGTTGTTAAACAGAACGGCAGTTGAGGAAATAGTCTGCATAAAAATGCTTCATCAGTAGTAGTCGTTAATTCTTCGGTCGTCGTTGAAGCATCAGAAGTATTCGTTACTTCTTCGGTCGTCGTTGAAGCATCTGTAGTAGTTGTTACTTCTTCAGAAGTAGTCGTTACTTCTTCGGTCGTCGTTGGAGCATCAGTAGTTGTCGTTAATTCTCCGGTCGTCGTTGTTGAACAGAAAGGCAATTGCGGAAATAGTCTACACAAAATCGCTTCAATGGATTCAGTTGTTGCTAACGACGTTGTCGTTACTTCTTCGGTCGTCGTTGAAGCATCAGTAGTTGTCGTTACTTCTTCGGTTGTCGTGGTTAAACATATTGGCAATTGCGGAAATAGTCTACATAATATTTCTTCAATGGATTCAGTTGTTGCTACAGACGTTGTCGTTACTTCTTCGGTCGTCGTTGAAGCCTCAGTAGTAGTCGTTAAATCTTCAGTAGTAGTCGTTACTTCTTCAGTCGTCGTTGAAGCGTCAGTAGTAGTCGTTACTTCTTCAGTAGTAGTCGTTACTTCTTCAGTATTAGTCGTTACTTCGTCGGTCGTCGTTGAAGCGTCAGTAGTAGTCGTTACTTCTTCAGTAGTAGTCGTTATTTCTTCGGTCGTCGTTGAAGCGTCAGTAGTAGTCGTTACTTCTTCAGTAGTAGTGGTTACTTCTTCGGTCGTCGTTGAAGCATCAGTAGTAGTCGTTACATCTTCAGTAGTAGTCGTTACTTCTTCAGTAGTAGTCGTTACTTCTTCGGTCGTCGTTGAAGCATCAGTAGTAGTCGTTACTTCTTCAGTAGTAGTCGTTACTTCTTCGGTCGTCGTTGAAGCATCAGTAGTAGTCGTTACTTCTTCAGTAGTAGTCGTTATTTCTTCGGTCGTCGTTGAAGCGTCAGTAGTAGTCGTTACTTCTTCAGTCGTCGTTGAAGCATCAGTAGTAGTCGTTACTTCTTCAGTCGTCGTTGAAGCATCAGTAGTAGTCGTTAAATCTTCAGTAGTAGTCGTTATTTCTTCAGTCGTCGTTGAAGCAACAGTAGTTGTCGTTACATCTTCAGTAGTAGTCGTTACTTCTTCAGTCGTCGTTGAAGCGTCAGTGGTAGTCGTTACTTCTTCAGTAGTAGTCGTTATTTCTTCGGTCGTCGTTGAAGCCTCAGTAGTAGTCGTTATTTCTTCGGTCGTCGTTGAAACATCAGTAGTAGTCGTTACATCTTCAGTAGTAGTCGTTATTTCTTCGGTCGTCGTTGATGCGTCAGTAGTAGTCGTTACTTCTTCAGTCGTCGTTGAAGCATCAGTAGTAGTCGTTACGTCTTCACTCGTCGTTGAAGCATCAGTAGTAGTCGTTACTTCTTCAGTAGTAGTCGTTACTTCTTCAGTAGTAGTCGTTGAAGCATCAGTAGAAGTCGTTACTTCTTCAGTGGTCGTTGAACCATTAGTAGTAGTCGTTACTTCTTCAGTAGTAGTCGTTACATCTTCGGTCGTCGTTGAAGCATCAGTAGTTGTCGTTACACTTTGAGTAGTAGTCGTTACTTCTTCAGTCGTCGTTGAAGCGTCAGTAGTAGTCGTTACTTCTTCAGTAGTAGTCGTTATTTCTTCGGTCGTCGTTGAAGCCTCAGTAGTAGTCGTTACTTCTTCAGTAGTAGTCGTTGAATCATCAGTAGTAGTCGTTACTTCTTCAGTGGTCGTTGAAGCATCAGTAGTAGTCGTTACTTCTTCAGTAGTAGTCGTTACTTCTTCAGTAGTAGTCGTTACTTCTTCAGTAGTAGTCGTTACTTCTTCAGTAGTAGTCGTTACTTCTTCAGTAGTAGTCGTTGAAGCATCAGTAGTAGTCGTTACTTCTTTAGTGGTCGTTGAAGCATCAGTAGTAGTCGTTACTTCTTCAGTAGTAGTCGTTACATCTTCGGTCGTCGTTGAAGCATCAGTAGTTGTCGTTACATCTTCAGTAGTAGTCGTTACTTTTTCAGTCGTCGTTGAAGCGTCAGTAGTAGTCGTTACTTCTTCAGTAGTAGTCGTTATTTCTTCGGTCGTCGTTGAAGCCTCAGTAGTAGTCGTTACTTCTTCAGTAGTAGTCGTTGAAGCATCAGTAGTAGTCGATACTTCTTCAGTGGTCGTTGAAGCATCAGTAGTAGCCGTTACTTCTTCAGTAGTAGTCGTTACTTCTTCGGTCGTCGTTGAAGCCTCCGTAGTAGTCGTTACTTCTTCAGTCGTCGTTGAAGCGTCAGTAGTAGTCGTTACTTCTTCAGTAGTAGTCGTTATTTCTTCGGTTGTCGTTGAAGCGTCAGTAGTAGTCGTTACATCTTCAGTAGTAGTCGTTACTTCTTCAGTCGTCGTTGAAGCGTCAGTAGTAGTCGTTACTTCTTCAGTAGTAGTCGTTATTTCTTCGGTCGTCGTTGAAGCGTCAGTAGTAGTCGTTACTTCTTCAGTAGTAGTCGTTACTTCTTCGGTCGTCGTTGAAGCGTCAGTAGTAGTCGTTGCTTCTTCAGTAGTAGTCGTTGAAGCATCAGTAGTAGTCGTTACTTCTTCAGTAGTAGTCGTTACTTCTTCAGTAGTAGTCGTTACTTCTTCGGTCGTCGTTGAAGCATCAGTAGTAGTCGTTACTTCTTCAGTACTAGTCGTTACTTCTTCGGTCGTCGTTGAAGCGTCAGTAGAAGTCGTTACTTCTTCAGTAGTAGTCGTTGAAGCATCAGTAGTAGTCGTTACTTCTTCAGTGGTCGTTGAAGCATCAGTAGTAGTCGTTACATCTTCCGTAGTAGTCGTTACTTCCTCAGTCGTCGTTGAAGCATCAGTAGTAGTCGTTACTTCTTCAGTAGTAGTCGTTATTTCTTCGGTCGTCGTTGCAGCCTCAGTAGTAGTCGTTACTTCTTCAGTAGTAGTCGTTACTTCTTCAGTGGTCGTTGAAGCATCAGTAGTAGTCGTAACTTCTTCAGTAGTAGTCGTTACTTCTTCAGTAGTAGTCGTTACTTCTTCGGTCGTCGTTGAAGCGTCAGTAGTAGTCGTTACTTCTTCAGTAGTCGTTGAAGCATCAGTAGTAGTCGTTACTTCTTCTGTAGTAGTCGTTACTTCTTCAGTAGTAGTCGTTACTTCTTCAGTAGTAGTCGTTACTTCTTCGGTCGTCGTTGAAGCCTCCGTAGTAGTCGTTATTTCTTCGGTCGTCGTTGAAGCATCAGTAGTAGTCGTTACATCTTCAGTAGTAGTCGTTACTTCTTCGGTCGTCGTTGATGCGTCAGTAGTAGTCGTTACTTCTTCAGTCGTCGTTGAAGCATCAGTAGTAGTCGTTACGTCTTCAGTCCTCGTTGAAGCATCAGTAGTAGTCGTTACTTCTTCAGTAGTAGTCGTTACTTCTTCAGTAGTAGTCGTTGAAGCATCAGTAGTAGTCGTTACTTCTTTAGTGGTCGTTGAAGCATCAGTAGTAGTCGTTACTTCTTCAGTAGTAGTCGTTACATCTTCGGTCGTCGTTGAAGCATCAGTAGTTGTCGTTACACTTTCAGTAGTAGTCGTTACTTCTTCAGTCGTCGTTAAAGCGTCAGTAGTAGTCGTTACTCCTTCAGTAGTAGTCGTTATTTCTTCGGTCGTCGTTGAAGCCTCAGTAGTAGTCGTTATTTCTTCGGTCGTCGTTGAAGCATCAGTAGTAGTCGTTACATCTTCAGTAGTAGTCGTTACTTCTTCGGTCGTCGTTGATGCGTCAGTAGTAGTCGTTACTTCTTCAGTCGTCGTTGAAGCATCAGTAGTAGTCGTTATGTCTTCAGTCCTCGTTGAAGCATCAGTAGTAGTCGTTACTTCTTCAGTAGTAGTCGTTACTTCTTCAGTAGTAGTCGTTGAAGCATCAGTAGTAGTCGTTACTTCTTTAGTGGTCGTTGAAGCATTAGTAGTAGTCGTTACTTCTTCAGTAGTAGTCGTTACATCTTCGGTCGTCGTTGAAGCATCAGTTGTTGTCGTTACACTTTCAGTAGTAGTCGTTACTTCTTCAGTCGTCGTTGAAGCGTCAGTAGTAGTCGTTACTTCTTCAGTAGTAGTCGTTATTTCTTCGGTCGTCGTTGAAGCCTCAGTAGTAGTCGTTACTTCTTCAGTAGTAGTCGTTGAATCATCAGTAGTAGTCGTTACTTCTTCAGTGGTCGTTGAAGCATCAGTAGTAGTCGTTACTTCTTCAGTAGTAGTCGTTGAAGCATCAGTAGTAGTCGTTACTTCTTCAGTAGTAGTCGTTACTTCTTCAGTAGTAGTCGTTACTTCTTCAGTAGTAGTCGTTACTTCTTCAGTAGTAGTCGGTGAAGCATCAGTAGTAGTCGTTACTTCTTTAGTGGTCGTTGAAGCATCAGTAGTAGTCGTTACTTCTTCAGTAGTAGTCGTTACATCTTCGGTCGTCGTTGAAGCATCAGTAGTTGTCGTTACATTTTCAGTAGTAGTCGTTACTTCTTCAGTCGTCGTTGAAGCGTCAGTAGTAGTCGTTACTTCTTCAGTAGTAGTCGTTGAAGCATCAGTAGTAGTCGTTACTTCTTCAGTGGTCGTTGAAGCATCAGTAGTAGTCGTTACTTCTTCAGTAGTAGTCGTTACTTCTTCGGTCGTCGTTGAAGCCTCCGTAGTAGTCGTTACTTCTTCAGTCGTCGATGAAGCGTCAGTAGTAGTCGTTACTTCTTCAGTAGTAGTCGTTATTTCTTCGGTCGTCGTTGAAGCCTCAGTAGTAGTCGTTACATCTTCAGTAGTAGTCGTTACTTCTTCAGTCGTCGTTGAAGCGTCAGTTGTAGTCGTTACTTCTTCAGTAGTAGTCGTTATTTCTTCGGTCGTCGTTGAATCGTCAGTAGTAGTCGTTACTTCTTCAGTAGTAGTCGTTACTTCTTCGGTCGTCGTTGAAGCGTCAGTAGTAGTCGTTGCTTCTTCAGTAGTAGTCGTTGAAGCATCAGTAGTAGTCGTTACTTCTTCAGTAGTAGTCGTTACTTCTTCAGTAGTAGTCGTTACTTCTTCGGTCGTCGTTGAAGCATCAGTAGTAGTCGTTACTTCTTCAGTACTAGTCGTTACTTCTTCGGTCGTCGTTGAAGCGTCAGTAGAAGTCGTTACTTCTTCAGTGGTCGTTGAAGAATCAGTAGTAGTCGTTACATCTTCCGTAGTAGTCGTTACTTCCTCAGTCGTCGTTGAAGCATCAGTAGTAGTCGTTACTTCTTCAGTAGTAGTCGTTATTTCTTCGGTCGTCGTTGCAGCCTCAGTAGTAGTCGTTACTTCTTCAGTAGTAGTCGTTACTTCTTCAGTGGTCGTTGAAGCATCAGTAGTACTCGTAACTTCTTCAGTAGTAGTCGTTACTTCTTCAGTAGTAGTCGTTACTTCTTCGGTCGTCGTTGAAGCGTCAGTAGTAGTCGTTACTTCTTCAGTAGTCGTTGAAGCATCAGTAGTAGTCGTTACTTCTTCAGTAGTAGTCGTTACTTCTTCAGTAGTAGTCGTTACTTCTTCAGCAGTAGTCGTTACTTCTTCGGTCGTCGTTGAAGCGTCAGTAGTAGTCGGTACTCCTTCAGTAGTAGTCGTTATTTCTTCGGTCGTCGTTGAAGCCTCAGTAGTTGTCGTTATTTCTTCAGTAGTAGTCGTTGAAGCATCAGTAGTAGTCGTTACTTCTTCAGTCGTAGTTGAAGCATCAGTAGTAGTCGTTACATCTTCAGTAGTAGTCGTTACTTCTTCGGTTGTCGTTGAAGCGTCAGTAGTAGTCGTTACATCTTCAGTCGTCGTTGAAGCGTCAGTAGTAGTCGTTACATCTTCAGTAGTAGTCGTTACATCTTCAGTAGTAGTCGTTACTTCTTCGGTCGTCGTTGAAGCGTCAGTAGTAGTCGTTACTTCTTCAGTAGTAGTCGTTGAAGCATCAGTAGTAGTTGTTACTTCTTCAGTGGTCGTTGAAGCATCAGTAGTAGTCGTTACTTCTTCAGTAGTAGTCGTTACTTCTTCGGTCGTCGTTGAAGCATCAGTAGTAGTCGTTACTTCTTCAGTAGTAGTCGTTGAAGCATCAGTAGTAGTCGTTACTTCTTCAGTGGTCGTTGAAGCATCAGTAGTAGTCGTAACTTCTTCCGTAGTAGTCGTTACTTCCTCAGTCGTCGTTGAAGCATCAGTAGTAGTCGTTACTTCTTCAGTAGTAGTCGTTACTTCTTCGGTCGTCGTTGATGCCTCAGTAGTAGTCGTTACTTCTTCAGTAGTAGTCGTTACTTCTTCGGTCGTCGTTGAAGCATCAGTAGTAGTCGTAACTTCTTCAGTAGTAGTCGTTACTTCTTCAGTAGTAGTCGTTACTTCTTCGGTCGTCGTTGAAGCGTCAGTAGTAGTCGTTACTCCTTCAGTAGTAGTCGTTATTTCTTCGGTCGTCGTTGAAGCCTCAGTAGTTGTCGTTACTTCTTCAGTAGTAGTCGTTGAAGCATCAGTAGTAGTCGTTACTTCCTCAGTCGTCGTTGAAGCATCAGTAGTAGTCGTTACTTCTTCAGTAGTAGTCGTTACTTCTTCGGTCGTCGTTGATGCCTCAGTAGTAGTCGTCACTTCTTCAGTAGTAGTCGTTACTTCTTCAGTAGTAGTCGTGACTTCTTCAGTAGTAGTCGTTACTTCTTCGGTCGTCGTTGAAGCATCAGTAGTTGTCGTTACTTCTTCCGTAGTAGTCGTTACTTCCTCAGTAGTCGTTGAAGCATCAGTAGTAGTCGTTACTTCTTCAGTAGTAGTCGTTACTTCTTCAGTAGTAGTCGTTACTTCTTCGGTCGTCGTTGAAGCGTCAGTAGTAGTCGTAACTCCTTCAGTAGTAGTCGTTATTTCTTCGGTCGTCGTTGAAGCCTCAGTAGTTGTCGTTACTTCTTCAGTAGTAGTCGTTGAAGCATCAGTAGCAGTCGTTACTTCTTCAGTCGTAGTTGAAGCATCAGTAGTAGTCGTTACTTCTTCGGTTGTCGTTGAAGCGTCAGTAGTAGTCGTTACATCTTCAGTCGTCGTTGAAGCGTCAGTAGTAGTCGTTACATCTTCAGTAGTAGTCGTTACTTCTTCGGTCGTCGTTGAAGCGTCAGTAGTAGTCGTTACTTCTTCAGTAGTAGTTGTTGAAGCATCAGTAGTAGTTGTTACTTCTTTAGTGGTCGTTGAAGCATCAGTAGTAGTCGTTACTTCTTCAGTAGTAGTCGTTACATCTTCGGTCGTCGTTGAAGCATCAGTAGTAGTCGTTACTTCTTCAGTAGTTGTCGTTGAAGCATCAGTTGTAGTCGTTACTTCTTCAGTGGTCGTTGAAGCATCAGTAGTAGTCGTTACTTCTTCCGTAGTAGTCGTTACTTCCTCAGTCGTCGTTGAAGCATCAGTAGTAGTCGTTATTTCTTCGGTCGTCGTTGCAGCCTCAGTAGTAGTCGTTACTTCTTCGGTTGTCGTTGAAGCGTCAGTAGTAGTCGTTACTTCTTCAGCAGTAGTCGTTGAAGCATCAGTAGTAGTCGTTACTTCTTCAGTGGTCGTTGAAGCATCAGTAGTAGTCGTAACTTCTTCAGTAGTAGTCGTTACATCTTCGGTCGTCGTTGAAGCATCAGTAGTTGTCGTTACATCTTCAGTAGTAGTCGTTACTTCTTCGGTCGTCGTTGAAGCGTCAGTAGTAGTCGTTGAAGCATCTGTAGTAGTCGTTACTTCTTCAGTAGTAGTCGTTACTTCTTCAGTAGTAGTTGTTACTTCTTCGGTCGTCGTTGAAGCATCAGTAGTAGTCGTTACTTCTTCAGTAGTCGTTGAAGCATCAGTAGTAGTCGTTACTTCTTCAGTAGTAGTTGTTACTTCTTCAGTAGTAGTCGTTACATCTTCAGTAGTAGTCGTTACTTCTTCAGTCGTCGTTGAAGCGTCAGTAGTAGTCGTTATATCTTCAGTAGTAGTCGTTTCTTCTTCGGTCGTCGTTGAAGCGTCAGTAGTAGTCGTTACTTCTTCAGTAGTAGTCGTTACTTCTTCGGTCGTCGTTGAAGCGTCAGTAGTAGTCGTTACTTCTTCAGTAGTAGTCGTTGAAGCATCATTAGTAGTTGTTACTTCTTCAGTGGTCGTTGAAGCATCAGTAGTAGTCGTTACTTCTTCAGTAGTAGTCGTTACATCTTCGGTCGTCGTTGAAGCATCAGTAGTAGTCGTTACTTCTTCAGTAGTAGTCGTTACTTCTTCGGTCGTCGTTGATGCCTCAGTAGTAGTCGTTACTTCTTCAGTAGTAGTAGTTGAAGCATCAGTAGTAGTTGTTACTTCTTCAGTGGTCGTTGAAGCATCAGTAGTAGTCGTTACTTCTTCAGTAGTAGTCGTTACTTCTTCGGTCGTCGTTGAAGCGTCAGTAGTAGTCGTTACTTCTTCAGTAGTAGTCTTTACTTCTTCAGTAGTGGTCGTTACTTCTTCGGTAGTAGTCGTTACTTCTTCAGTAGTAGTCGTTACTTCTTCTGTCGTCGTTGGTGCGACTGTTGTTGTCGTCGCTTGAGAAGTAGTTGTTAAGCAAATAGACAATTGCGGAAAAAGTCTGCATACTACGGACTCAAGGGATTCAGTTGTTGTTTCTGCTGCAGTTGTGGTAGGAGCCACGGTGGTAGTAGTTGTTGTTGTGCACAACGCGGGAAAGATAATGCATAAAAGGGATTCAGTTGTAGTTGAGGTCGTTGTAGTGGTTTGAGTTGAGCAAGTGGATATCGCCAGTGCAGCGCACAGCAGAACTAGCAAACGGGAGCGCATAGTCTAAAAAAAAATATAATTATCAAATGAACTTTTAAAGCAGACTAGCTCTTACCATCGCGACTTCAATGTGCGTACTGAATTCGTGAAGTTAGAAAAAACTATTTATGTAAAAAAGTCTGAACAGGTTTCTTTGTTTTGAGGGAGATATACTAATGACTTTTGTCCATTACAATTGAACTATAAATTGGTCGTTCTTCTGAAGCTTCTTAGATAACATTATCTACTTGATAATAATTTTGAGTTTTTGGTTTGGAATTTAAAGTATATCTTCCAAAATTTTAAATTCTTTAAAATAGTGTTGATAATCACTATTTTAAAGAATTTAAAATATTGGAACATTTGATAATACTTTTTTTTGTCAACTGCCTGAAAACTCTTGCCGGTTTAAATATATAATAATTACTTTTTCTAACTCCTGGAATTTCCATAAATACAAATTTAAAAATTATTTTAAATATGTAGTCGATAGAACGGAAGGTAACTTTGAAAAGTATATAATATTTTACTCATAAAATTTGCAAGTTGGCTATTAAAGCAATTTAATTACAATGAAGTCCTGCAAAGTCTAAAATATTAACATTTTCTGATTATTTTATAAATTGACTGATCAATCCTTTGACAGCTTTCCGATTTGTATTATCAATATATATACAGAATACGCTAATAACTAAATATCTTTAAAAACAAGTAAATTATACATGCGACCGTCAGACAGGCGGGCAGGCAGATTTGGTTAGTTTGAATCGGCTTTTCATACTAATCTATATCTATAAAAATTAAACCTGTTTCCCGTTGTCACGCCATAACGAGAACGGCTAGACCGATTTGGCTAACCTATGTGTAATTTTTTAGTGAACTGTAGAAGGTTCTTAAGAACATGTCTCAGAAAGATTAAAAAAATACATTTAATTTGCGCGGTACTAAGTTCGACGGGTTAGCTAGCCAAGAATAAAACATAAAAATTATTATATTCGTTGCGAGAGTTTTAATATATTTTAATAATACTGCGAAAGCTTATACAATTGTTTTTTTTATTAGTTGTTTAAATTCAACTATAAACAATAACTAATTATTTAACGCATTAAGAGTAATAATGTGTGGCATTTGCATAAAAGAGTAAATTAACTAAGTAAACCAACACAAGGCGAAACAAAAAACAAAAGACATTTTAAAAATCGAATGGATAAAGAATTTATGAGAATTATATGTACATTAACTAATGACTTTTTTATTTATTTGTTGTTCACTGTACGCAAAAGTTGCAAACTTAATCTCGGCCATAGTAGCGGTGATTTTCGGCCGGAATGTATAATATATTAGCTTAAGTACTTATTTTTACAATGGTACTAACAAATTTCACTATATATTTACAGATTGATTAACAGTTTTTTAAGAGTTGAGGGAAAAAAGATAGATTTATAAATTATGAAGGTTGGCTGACTTAAGAAAGTTTATAATTAGCTGGATATTTGCAAAACTAGGGTTAATTAAGAGATCAGTAAGTTTAATACTTGGTAAATTTAATGTGTGTGTTTGTAGAGCGGGACAGTCGTTGAGGATATGGGGGATCGATATGTTCTCCTTGGTGCGGAACTGGCATTGGTAGTTGGTGGTTGAGCGAAACGATGTTCGTGGGTCAGACTGTGTGGCTCATTTTTGTGATTTCTCTTCTTGGTGCGTTATAGGTTTGTAAAGTTTTTGTGTAGTCAGCTAAGCTTATAGATTCTGAGTTGATCTGTTGGTACCATTGCTAAGTTGTTTGCAATAAACTTGGTGTGTGTTTTAACTTTATTGTTTATGTCTCCATGATTAATATTTGTTATTGTGATCAATGGAGCGATTGTCGCTTTTATCTCTGCTGCATCGGAATTTTCGTTGCCTTTGATTGCGATGTGGCTGGGTACCCATAGGAGCTTGATTTTATTTCGCGGATGTATGTTAAATAGAAGATTGTATTGTTTATGTTTAAAAGTGCTTCCAGTGTTGGGTCTGAGCAGATGCAGGATCTCCCTATAAGCACTACTGCTATTTTGATGGCTTCCAAAATAGCAATCACCTCTGCTGTATATACCCATAAGTAGCCCCGAAAAACTGCTTGTTTGAGTATTTTATCTTCTGTGGTTATCGCAAAGCCAATAATTTCCTTACTCAAGGATCCGTCTGTGAACAGAAGTCTGAAGTTTCAAAAAATTCTTTTACAAATATGTCCTTATTTGTGCTGGATCATTTTAGTCCGCTTAATTGGGTATCGATGTGATTGTTATTCAGGAACCAGGGGGTATGGTTGGTTAAGTTTTATTAGGAAAAGAGGTAGGAAGTTCGAGCCTTTTTCCAAGCGTAACGCAATAATTAACTGGCGATGATCGGTATTTTTTTGTTTTATTTTTGGTTATCCGGTTAATAATTTGTTTCAGAAGGGTGTCGTTAGAGTGAATGATACTGTTGATTGTTTTTAGTTCTAAGTTTCTATTTCTATTTCAATAGGTTCGATATTGGCTTCTAGGTACAGATTAAAGGTGGATGTAGAGCAGATTGTTCCCAGCGACGTTCGCAAAGTTAAGTTTATTAGAGTTATTAGTGGGGAGTTTCAAAAGCCTTAGTGAAGTCAAGAGATATTATCGATATATATCTTGAGGAATGTGCGATTTGCAAATGTTGTTGAAAAAACCAATAATTCTTGTTTTGAGTGTCAAATGACTTTTTATTTCTCGGTCTCATTGCCTTTAGGCTCTCATCTTTAAAAGACTCTTTCTAAAAATAAAGGTTTGTAATGCATACAAACAAATGAACGGACAGGACATATAAAGATCAAATTGACTGGTGATGCTGATTCAGAAAATATAGATCTTATGGGCTTGGAGATCCTGTTAAATTATTTCTGTTTAACCTTTCACAAATTACATTTTTTATGAATTTTTCTTTTTTTATATGGCATTTCACAAAAAAAAAAAAATTAATTACTAAATTACTAAATTTATAATTCAATCTTACATATTTATATTAAACAAAATAATAAAATTTTCTAGCTTAAAGAAATTAGATTTTAAATTTTACCTTTTTTACAAAGCTCAAAAGCAACACTTACATGAACCGCCACTAGTTGCGGCACTTACCTAAAGGCAAAGTAATTATGATTTTTGATTGGCAGCAATTTATTTATCAGTCATAATGAATTTATTATATTATGAATATATATTTTCACCAGATAGACTTAAAAAACCTTGAGGTCTAGTGTATCGTCTATAAGTCACCAGCCGCTGGTCGACGGAATATGACGATTTCTACACCAAAACGAACACCATAACGTTTTCCTAGAGCGTCCCAGACTGGAATACTGAACCATTATGTCACCAGAAAAGAATATCCGTCCAGAAACAGTTTCCCAAAGTTTTCTCAAATGATAGAGAATTAAGAGGATTCTCCTGGTGGGACTTCGATTGCCCCCATACAGAGCCACACTACGAAAACTTATCAATGGAGCCTTTAACTTGTCAGACCTTCCAGTTTCTACCCCCTAGCTGTGCCCTTGGAAATCATTTTTGGAAATTTAGTCCACCATCACTGCCTGTGTGGAGGCCAGACTAGTCACGTGATGTCACATGCTGCGTCTCTAATGATAATTAAAGATAATCCCGAAAATCTATATTTAAATACAAATTAAGAACAATTTGTACATTAAAACTGATTCATAAAATGGATTTAACATGGTTTTTAAAGTCTGTTTTGAAGGATATTTTAAATCGAGCTCCTATCTTTATTGTAACCTTGCAGGGTATTATAATTTTAGTCAGATGTTTGCAACGCAGTGATGTCTCCTTTCCGACCCTATAAAGTGTATACGTATATTCTTAATTAGCACCAACAGCAGAGTTGTTCTAGCCATGTCCGTCTGTAATTTTTGAGATATGGTCACTTTTTATTATTTCAGAATTATGGTTTTAATTTTATGGAAATCTGACGACTATATCTTATGGCTGCAATAAAACCGATAGGGACATTGCTAGAAGAAGTTATAAATTATTTGTTTTTCAACGAATTTTTATTATTTTTGAGATATTAACTGTCAAACTGAAAATATTATAAGTCTAGGTAAAATGTAATGAAACTTTATTTTGTGTGTTTTTCAGCATTTAAATGATTTGTATTATTTATACAACTTTTACATATTGCCTTTAATTTTTTTCTATCAATTTAACCTAAATGGCTCGATTCTAAATGATAGCAAACTGCCAGGGTAAACAATCTTCGGCATGCCGAAGTTAGTTTTGTAAGAAGCTGTTAAAAATATTATTGTGATAGAAAGGGAACGTTTTTTTACATTCTGTATTACTACAGATCGGACTTCACCACTCGCTTGTATCAGAATTTAGACTTTGCTTAGAGTTATGTTAACTTATTATATTAGTTCCACTTATTACGTTAGAATATATTATTTTCCAAAGAGGTTTCCAAAAGGTATATGAGGTTTTGCTGGGTGCGAATTGTGATGTATTGGCCTTGCTGGAAGCAAAGGAGGTAAAGGTAAGGGCAGCAGACCTATCACAGCAGATTCGGCTTCTGGCAAATTTCCTGGGAACGGTAAAGGTGGTAATGGTGGTGGAAATGGAAGGCCAGGTGCTCCAACAATCTCATGATAGTGATGATGATGATGATATCCATTATGTGGCTGAGCGTCAGTAGTTGTCGTTACTTCTTCGGTCGTCGTTGAAGCATCAGTAGTAGTCGTTACTTCTTCAGTAGTAGTCGTTACTTCTTCGGTCGTCGTTGAAGCATCACTAGTAGTCGTTACTTCTTCATTAGTCGTTGGAGCATCAGTAGTAGTCGTTACTTCATCAGTAGTAGTCGTTACTTCTTCGGTCGTCGTTGAAGCATCAGTGGTAGTCGTTACTTCTTCAGTAGTAGTCGTTGAAGCATCAGTAGTAGTCGTTACTTCCTCAGTCGTCGTTGAAGCATCAGTAGTAGTCGTTACTTCTTCAGTAGTAGTCGTTACTTCTTCAGTAGTAGTCGTTTCTTCTTCAGTAGTAGTCGTTACTTCTTCAGTAGTAGTTGTTACTTCTTCGGTCGTCGTTGAAGCATCAGTAGTAGTCGTTACTTCTTCAGTAGTAGTCGTTACTTCTTCGGTCGTCGTTGAAGCATCAGTGGTAGTCGTTACTTCTTCAGTAGTAGTCGTTGAAGCATCAGTAGTAGTCGTTACTTCCTCAGTCGTCGTTGAAGCATCAGTAGTAGTCGTTACTTCTTCAGTAGTAGTCGTTACTTCTTCAGTAGTAGTCGTTTCTTCTTCAGTAGTAGTCGTTACTTCTTCAGTAGTAGTTGTTACTTCTTCGGTCGTCGTTGAAGCATCAGTAGTAGTCGTTACTTCTTCAGTAGTAGTCGTTACTTCTTCGGTCGTCGTTGAAGCATAAGTAGTAGTCGTTACTTCTTCAGTAGTAGTCGTTACTTCTTCGGTCGTCGTTGAAGCATCAGTGGTAGTCGTTACTTCTTCAGTAGTAGTCGTTGAAGCATCAGTAGTAGTCGTTACTTCCTCAGTCGTCGTTGAAGCATCAGTAGTAGTCGTTACTTCTTCAGTAGTAGTCGTTACTTCTTCAGTAGTAGTCGTTTCTTCTTCAGTAGTAGTCGTTACTTCTTCAGTAGTAGTTGTTACTTCTTCGGTCGTCGTTGAAGCATCAGTAGTAGTCGTTACTTCTTCAGTAGTAGTCGTTACTTCTTCGGTCGTCGTTGAAGCATCAGTAGTAGTCGTTACTTCTTCAGTAGTAGTCGTTACTTCTTCAGTAGTAGTCGTTACTTCTTCGGTCGTCGTTGAAGCATCAGTAGTAGTCGTTACTTCTTCAGTAGTAGTCGTTACTTCTTCAGTAGTAGTCGTTACTTCTTCGGTCGTTGTTGAAGTATCAGTAGTTGTCGTTACTTCTTCGGTTGTCGTGGTTAAACATATTGGCAATTGCGGAAAAAGTCGACATAATATGTCTTCAATGGATTCAGTTGTTGCAATAGACGTTGTCGTTACTTCTTCGGTCGTAGTTGAAGCATCAGTAGTAGTCGTTACTTCTTCAGTAGTAGTCGTTACTTCTTCAGTAGTAGTCGTTACTTCTTCAGTAGTAGTGGTTACTTCTTCGGTCGTCGTTGAAGCATCAGTAGTAGTCGTTACTTCTTCAGTAGTAGTCGTTACTTCTTCAGTACTAGTCGTTACTTCTTCGGTCGTCGTTGTAGCATCAGTAGTAGTCGTTACTTCTTCAGTAGTAGTCGTTACTTCTTCGGTCGTCGTTGAAGCATCAGTAGTAGTCGTTACTTCTTCAGTAGTAGTCGTTACTTCTTCAGTAGTAGTGGTTACTTCTTCGGTCGTCGTTGAAGCATCAGTAGTAGTCGTTACTTCTTCAGTAGTAGTCGTTACTTCTTCAGTAGTAGTCGTTACTTCTTCGGTCGTCGTTGAAGCATCAGTAGTAGTCGTTACTTCATCAGTAGTAGTCGTTACTTCTTCGGTCGTCGTTGGCGCGACTGTTGTTGTCGTCGCTTGAGAAGTAGTTGTTAAGCAAATAGGCAATTGCGGAAACAGTCTGCATAATACGGACTCAAGAGATTCAGTTGTTGTTTCTGCTGCAGTTGTGGTAGGAGCCACGGTGGTAGTAGTTGTTGTTGTGCACAACACGGGAAAGATAATGCATAAAAGGGATTCAGTTGTAGTTGAGTCCGTTGTGGTGGTTTGAGTTGAGCAAGTGGATATCGCCAGTGCAGCGCACAGCAGAACTAGCAAACGGGAGCGCATAGTCTAAAAAAAAATATAATTATCAAATGAACTTTTAAAGCAGACTAGCTCTTACCATCGTGACTTCAATGTGCGTACTGAAACCGTGAAGTTTTGAAAAACTATTTATGTAAAAAAATACCAACAGGCTTCTTTGTTTTCAGGTAGATAAACTAATGACTATTGTCCATTACAATTGAACAATAAATGGTTCAATGCTCTGAAGCTTCTTAGGTAACATGATCGACTTGTGATTATTTTTGGTTTCCCAGGAATGGAATTTATAGTACATTCTCCGATATTTTAAATTCTTTAAATAGCGGAACATTTGAAGATTTATAATACTTTTTTTTATCAACAGCTTGAAAACTCTTGTCGTTTTAAATATATTATAATTACTTTTCCCAACTCCTGGAAATTCCATATTTATAAATTTAAAAATTATTCTATATATGAAGTCAAAAGTCCGGAAGGTGGCTTTGGAAAGCATATCATATTTTAGTACTGCAAGCTCTAAACCATAACAATTTTCTGATTATTATATAAATTAACTGTTCGATCTATTGGATACTTTCAGATTTTTCTTTATCGAATATATACTGAGTACCCTAATACCCGGTTTTTTTTAGTTTTTTCAATTATATTATGAAAAATCTGCTTTGATCCTTGCCCCGAAATTATTTAACGAATTAAGAGTTTTACTTAACTATATTTTATTAAGTTTACAGAATTTTGTAAATTACATAATTTGCACTTTAATGCCAAAAATAAATTAGATATGAACTTAACTTAAATCCCGGTCAGATTCCATTGCTTGTAGGCTTTTTTACATACTTCTGATTCTTCCTTAAATTGAACTATTTTTAATGACTGTTTTGTGAAGGCGAAAGGGAGAAATACAGAAAAGTTCGTGGAAGCACCAATTGTTTGTATGATTCTCTTAAACTCGATCGTTTTGCACCAGGTTTATACAAGATTGCAATTCCTCAAGTCCAGCCATGGACTTTGGCAAGATTTCACTAACAATTTTCGATGTGGTTGATGAACACTCCTCCTAGCTTAGCCTAAACCTTACGGGCTAAACGAAAACTGTGCTACAGAGTGGCTACTCTTGTTGCTGGCAGTTTGCATTTGTTCACGCCAGGACGCCATCCAGAGCGTGGATCACTCCATTGGTGGCTGGTATATTTGACGTGACCATCTGGGCATCGTTCACCTTGATCTTTCCAGCCGAAGTCTTCTGCAGGATCACGGTCTTGCCCGTGTACAGCGAGTCCTTGACCTGGTAGAACCGCATGCCGGCCGAGAAGAGAGCACCCGGCACAATGTGCTTCATGGCGAACTGCTCTGCGGCCTCCTTGTCGATGTATAGCTTCTCCAGTGTGTCTGAGTCCAGCTCGCTGAAGCTCTTGTCGACGGGGGCGAAGACGGTGTAGGTTTTCACTCCTAAATGGTAGCATCAAGGTTCAGAGTCATAACTTTTCTGAGTTTCATAAGTCCTTACCCTTGCTCTGCAGCTTCTCGGATAGTCCAGAGGTGTACAGAATCTTAAGGAAATTGCTGAAGCGGCCCTCGCGATCAGATTGCAGAGTCTGCAAGAGGTCCCCGACGGGCAGCGGGAACATAACGCGATCGACGGCATGGGCCACACCCTGGGGGATCTTGATGTCCTTCTTGTTCAACACAACCATGGCTCCGTTGATGGTGGTGAGCTGAAAGGGAAGTAATTTGTTTAGCACCATGGGAACTGAATATCGCACGGGACAAGCTTACAGTCACATCGTTCCACTCCTGGTCATGCATGTTGTACTGATTCACTCGCAGCTGGGTTCCGGCCAGTGAGACGCCGGTCATCTCGTCCTGTAAGGTGGCGATTTCAAAAGCTCCCGGAATCACATGGTGTAGCAGCAGCTGATCATAATATCACAGTAGAAGTATCCAATAAATCAATTCAATACGGAATATATTCATTTTACTCAAACTTACCCCACTTAATAGCCTGGGATTGGACTGGAACTTCTCCTCTGCCCGTTCCGGACCTCCCAACTGCACCAACAGGTTCTTGAAGGCCTTATCTGTGGGCACAAAGATGGTGTAGGGTCCCGTCTCATTGAGAATGCTGTCGAGGCCCGACTGGCGCAGGTACTTCGCCATGGCAAACAGGCCGTTCGACTTCAGAATCTGCAGTAGATCCTCGCTGGGATTGGACAGCACAGAGCTGGTCGCAGGACTGGCCTGCGCCGCCTTTTCCGTATTCTCAGTCTCCTGGACGAGGGCATCTGCGTACTGGGACACGGGTGGCAGCAGATCGGGGCTGTTGACGACGTCGGACAGACGCTCGGTGACCACTGGCAAGTGGGTGGAGGCACCTCCCAAATAGGGGGAACCCGTCACCGTGGAGCCACTATACACGGGAGCCGGAGTGGTGCGAATCAGGCTGGCAGCGTTTGCGTGATCGGGAGTACTGCTCTCGAAAACCAGATTGAGGCGAGCTGTGGTCGGGGCGGATGTAGTGCTGGTGGTCGAGGTCCTCGATGGATGGTACTGCCGGTGGTTGCTGGGCGTTCCCCGAGAAACGAAGGGCGTGGGAGTGGTAGTGGTTGTCGTTGTCGTTGTCGTGGTGGTGCTCGTGGAAGTTGTAGCTGGAGCCCGCGTGGTCTGGATGATCTTGCCGCTCTTGATCTCCACAAGCTCGTCGTTGGGCAGGGTCAGGCGCGAAACGGAGGGTGGCAGCTTGATCTCCCCACTCCTGATACGCTCCAGAATGCTCTCCACTTCGCTACCCGTTTGTTTGGTCTCCTTCTCGCCATTGGCCTTAACTCCCTGAATTTTGAAGCTGCCATCTGCCTGCTCCTCGAGATACACATAGGTGGCCTTCTTCTTCGGCTGGGGCAGCGGTGGGGCTGGGGCAGCGGTGGCTGGAGCTTGCGACTTGGAGCTGAGACCCTCGATCTCGTAGCCATCGGGAATGAGGCCTCGTTTGGCCAACTCCTCCAGGGAAGGTGGATCGTCCGAGTCCGAAGTAATCACCGCCGAGCTGGCAATGCTGTTCGCTCCACTGCTGATACCCTGGATGTCACCTGCGCCTCCACCATAGAGGGCAGCCAGGCTGGAGAGGTCCACGCCACCGGGAAGACCACCTGACGGCAGAGTGTCTGACTCCTGGGGATCTGGGGATCGCAGGATCTGCACCTTACCACCACCCGGCAGCTCTAGGTCCTTGCTCTTGCTAGGCGCCACATCGCTCAGGCTGAGCTTCGCATCTCCACCCAAAGCCTGCTGGGCAAGCAAAGTCTGCAGTTGCTCCTGGGAGTAGGCCTTCTGGCCCTGGACAAGGTTGGGATCTGTTGTGCGGATGACCTGAACCCTCTGGCCATTGGGCAGCACCAGGTCCATTTCATCGTACGTCTTATTGCCTGTCAGCGGCTGCTGTGGAGCTTCGGACAGGGCAGCCTTTAGCTGCTTAAGCAGGTCCTCGCGCGCAATGGTTTTCACCGGCTTCTTGCTCTTCTGGCTGGGATACTTGCCCAGTTCGGATTTCACTTGCGCATAGATATTCTTCTTCGGCGTGGTGGTTGCCTCAGTTGTCGTAGTCGTGGTGGTAGTTGTCGTCGTCGTCGGGTGCTCTTTGTAGTACTGCTGCAGGGCGCTATTGAACTGGTTGTACTCTGTGGGATGGGCCACAGGCCTTCCACGAGCTGGTGCTCCCACGTAGGGTGAGTGCTGATAGTTGCCGTTGTGCTGCGTGATGATCGTGGGCAGGATGTGCTGCTTGATCTGATGCTGCTTAACCAGGAACTCCTCATGCTGCTGGCGCACTTTGTGCTGCGACTTTTCGTACTGCTTGGCCACGAACTGTTCGTGCTTCTGGATCAGCTTCTGCTTGTACTCCTGGTCGGTGGGCTGGCTCTGAGCCTGGACTGGTGCCTGGGCGTTGACGAATTGGTGCTGGAACTGAGGCTGTTGCTGAGCTTGAGGCTGAAAGGTGCCTCGGGTGGGCTCTGGGAAGGGAGTGGCCTGCAGGTTGTTGAATATCTGTGGCACGGGCAAACCCAGCTGGGGAGTCAGCTGGTACTGCTGCTGCTGCTGCTGCTGCTGCTGCGTGGCCTGCTGCTGGTAGTTGAACTGTACCTGCTGCTGCTGTGGCTGGGAAATAGTCTGAAATGTGGGCACTGGTGCCTGGCTAGGCAACTTCTGGGTGGTCTGGGGCAGCACATGGGGTCCAAACTGCTGGGGCTGCTGGTAGGCAAACTGCTGATGCTGCTGCTGCTGGTAAGTTTCAAGCGAAGGTTGGGGTGGAAAGGCTGTTGACTGCAGGCGGGAGTCTAGGGGATATTAGGGCTTCGGTCAGAGGTGAAAGATCGGGTGGAGGATCAAGAGTTGCACTCACCGAATTGCTTGTGGCGCTGCTGCTGCTGTTGCTGTTGCTGTTGCTGAGGCTGCTGCTGGGAGCCAGCGAAGTTGCGCAAGTCCAAGAAGTTCTGATGATGCAGATCAATGCCGGTGGCTGGCGAGGTCAACTGTTGTTGTTGGTGCTGCTGCTGCTGTTGCTGCGGAAATTGGGGAGCAGTCTGCAGTTGGTTTTGGGTCGAGCGCTGGAACTGCTGATTGCTGTGAGGGGGCTGATGCTGCTGCTGCTGCTGGGGCTGGTGTGGGAACTGCCCAAAGCGGTGTTGCTGCTGCGGGGCCTGGTGGTGATGGTGTGTGTGCTGTTGCTGCGGACGGTGAGGAATGGGCAGCTCCACTCCCGCCTGGACAAAGTTTTGCTGGTTGTACTGCTGCAGGTTCAACTGACGGCGCTGCGAGTTATGAAAGGGCGGCTGCAAAGAGAAGGAGACGGAGCGGAGTAAGTTACGAGCTCTGCAAATGCACACTGTCGTTGCGTCATCCAGGCTGGTGCAGAAAACCAGCTTCGTTTGGCGCGAGATCTTTCATCAGCTCGCACAGATAAGTCGGCGCTGAGCAATCCCCCCAAAGCGCTCCTAAAATAGACATGAACCAGTTTCAGTGGTGATTTCCAAAGCAATCTCTGCTCTATTTCGGCAAGAGTAGCCTGTGCGTCTGGCTCAGCTGAGGGGTCCTTTTTAGCGGGCACTCGGTCAAGTTGAAGTCCATGAAAATGGCAAACTTGTTTGGCGCAATCGCACCTTGCGAAGCGAAATTGTTACGGAAGAAGAAAGTTCACTATGCCCCCGCCTTGAGTGGCGGATATGAATGGATCTCGTTATTCCAAAGATTAAATGATGGTATCTCGGCCAAAGATAAACGCAAATTGTGAGTAATCTGTCTGGATAATAACAGTCCCAGGCCCTTGCCCAACTAAAGTCCACTCTATTCACTGGGTAACCCACTTTTATTGTCTCCCATCTGTAGTTGTCATTAGTGTGTCTCCCCCTACAATCTTGTGGCCAAGCTGTCCTACCCACACCGCGTATACGTACTACCAATCAAGAGACCTGGCGGTGGTCACACATCGGGCAATTGTTTAACAACAGTTATCCAACATCATTGCCAAAGCGGCCCCAGGAGTAGCAGGCCAAGCACTCCGCTGAGCCTCTCTATAGGCCCAGGTACTGTTTGGCTGTAGTCTGCCTTTTGGCTTATGGCTAAACTGCTGTATGTATAATTTAATTGCCTCGGCAATAAATCTTCTTTTTTGCGGGCTCTGCCGATGCCGATGCCGATTGAGGCGTTATCAGGCTGCTTGGGAGCCCCGACTCTTTCTTTTCGCATGGTAATTATGTTGTTGCCGCTAACGCCGCGCCTCATCATGACGCGGAGCTGTTGCCCGATGATGCTGGCAAAAGCTGGCACTGGGACGGAGGTCTCTGGATTATGCAACCTAATCACAGCGCCACGATTAACCGGGAGAAAAGTACAAGATGTTCGAGCAGGTGAAGGAATAAGCTTTTGTAATCAAGTAACGACTCACCCCAGAGCCGTTGCCAGTATTAATTCAATCTAAAAAATCCATTGCTCTGTCATGCATCTTCATCTCCAATTTGAGTTTTTCACCAGCCACAATTTTCTTTCGGCTGGATCGGCAGAGATGACTTTTCCCTACGACTTGCCTGGCTGGCTGGTGAAAACGACAATCAATCATCAATCAAGTGCCAAAGCAATCAGCGTCCCAGGCCCAAGAGCCACTGAACCCAGTCTTCAAGCGGGCCCAGTAAGCCTCCTCGCCCTTCTATACCCGACATGTGTTCAACGTGTCAATTTCTCGGTTTAGCGTATTCATTCAATATTTTCTCGGCGCCTGTATGCAAAACGCTTTCGTTTTCAAGCACCGCCGCAGTGAGAGCCTCCAATAAATGGTCGCGCATGCGCGGTAACCCATTAATGCAGGTGACGTCCATGGTCGACTAAGTCGTTGCTGTCACCAATCGCCACCGCACCTCAGGCGAGTGACATCCAAAGAGTGTCAGAAAATGAACAAATGTGGATTAATCAAGTGTCACGGCTCGACAAACGGTGGCAGAAATATTGGAAATGTGTGGAAGTCATAATATACGACATATTTGGTGTATTATTCAAATTGGAAGCTTAATAAGCCTACAGAAAATACTTTTTAATTCTGAGATAGCGATTATACTTCTTCAATACCACATTTAAAATTTAATCTATTTTTTATCTATTTTGTCACATAGTCAACAAGAAACACTAACTTCTTTCCATTCAACTGTGGATCTCGGATCCCAAACAAAATACTTCCCTTATTGCACATAATATTTCAAGACTTAATCGTAAAAATTTGTTAACAAATGAAATATTTTCTTGGCTAAACAAAGAAAGTTCCATTAAAGCAACAAATGGGCTGGACTGCGACAACAAACTCCATTTCGTTACGTAAACTTTTCCATTCGAGGGCTGTCAAATCAAATGAGCATTATGCTAATCGGTGAAGATACTCCAAGAGATAGCCGGCAACAGGTAGAAGTTGCTGCATTCCACCAGCTGGAAACCAGTTCGCGTCCACATTTTTCACATGCTCGCTGGGGCGTTGTGATCCGTGATGTATCTGTCAGTTACATGACTCGAACTGCCGGCTAATTTGTTAATAATTCATAATTGATTTCCCATCACACATCGGGTCGGGACGGGTATTACGAGAGCTGCCTTCGGCCAGATGAGAAACAAAACGAAAGCGAATTTCGGAAATTTCTTTTCGTTTTTGGGCTCAGTTTCATTTTGCAGTGAAAGTGATTTGCCAGTATTTAGTAGGCACTTAAGCAGTTTATGTTAATTAGAATTTAATAGATCGAGCCCCGAGATTTTCAGGCCCCAAGATATGGTTCGCTTAATTAAGAGTTACCAAAAATCAGAGGCCGTAAATTCTGCGAGTTGCACAACGGCCTCTGGCATCTGACAGATTCTTCTCGAGTCGCACAATTTACTAGTTTTCCTACTTTTTTTTTGTTTTGGTTTGGATCTTGTCAATGGCCAATGGCACCAAAGCTGGCCTCGTTTTCCCCGATTGCCTTTCGGATTTCCTGTCTGCCCCACAGCCAACTAAGAAAAACTGAATGCATCTGGCCTCCAGCTTGCACTGGATCTCGGTGTATTCTTTGTTTTGGACTTTTCAGATGCATTTGCTACTGGCTTCTTTTTTTCGGCTCGAGCTTGTTTTGGCAATTCGTGTAGTCCCAAGGCTGCCTCAAACTCTGCCAAATGCCTCGTAGACTAGAGGATCTTTTTTGTGGGAAGTTTTGCAATTTGTGCTACGGCCATAAAAAGGGATGCTCATGCGAGATGTCAGCTCGGTCATCACTGTAAGTTTTAGAGACCTTAATTAGAATTTTTTAAATTAAAATAAGGACTGCTTGTGGAGTAATAAGTTATTATTTTGATTGATTCTTCAATGATATCGAAAACTGGGGCAACTGCTTAAAATGATTTGTTAGTTGACAACCAACACTAAACGCCTCATTAAATTGTTTGTCTTGTTTATCTTCGCAAGGCATCTCGGCCCCAGCTAGATCTTGGAAATCGTGCTCACATCATTTCGACATCTCATCGATGGCATCTGAATAAAGTCCAGAACGAAGTTGAAGTAGCGTCGAAATCGCGGCTGTTGCCAGAACTGGTTAAATCGAAGACAACCTCCTTCGGCTCCCCTGTTGACAGTTTCCCCATGCCAGCAAATGTGCATAATAAGCTTTTAATGGCAGCTGATGGCTTAGTTTGTGGCTCGGCGACTCGCAGCATTGGTCAATCCGAGGATTTGGCAATTCCCTTTCACTTTTCCGGCTATCGACAAATGACGGCTGCTTGCAAAGAGATGCCCCGAAAAAAAAGGCGAACAAAATATTTGTGTGGATTTCCTAAAGGCATTTTAATTGCCAGCAAAATAGCTAGCTGGCTAAGCAAATAAGTAATTAATTTGCGGCCGCACAGAAGAATGCTCGGCGAACAATAGCAGCACCAGCCCCAAGTAACAGCAAAAAGTGAAATTTACATAAAATTGTGTAATTAACTGAGGTAAATAAGAAATTGCCTCGAGCGGAGCTTTAGCCAACACCTACACCTTCCCCGAAACCCGAAAAAGGGGCCACCAGCCACATGAAAGCAAAAGAAGCCACCGGCCAGCGGTAACAAAAACTGTAGTGCAACAATGAAAAGGTTCCAGCAGTAACAAAGAGCAGCCCAAACAGAAACAAAAACAAAAGTTATTTAACCATCGCTTTAAGACCAGAAAAGTGCGGCAAAAGAAACCTGGCCAGCTCGGTTACCGTTCGCGTACTAATCTCCAGATATTATCGCCGGACAGACGGGGAGAGTGCTGCTAAACACTTTTACAAATTAGGACAATTTAACTGGTAGACCCATACCGATGATCTCCGAATGATTGTCTGGTTAATTACTGTGGCCGATCTTGGCAATCGGATCCATAAATGCCAGTTATGCAATAGTACAAATGTTTATACATACAGAAAAAGGAAGATGGCGAGAATTTTGTTTATAAACTTAAGCATTAAGCTGCTTCTGATGTGTACTGCTCAGAAAAACTTAATTTCAATTTCAATTTTGAATTTGGATTTCTTTGTAGACTTTTACTCTCTCGAATGAGTGAGCTAAGGCATATAATTCCAGCAAACTGCTTCTCCCAGTTAATTGCCAGTTTGGTTGCATCCACAGAGCTCTGGAAGTATTGCATAACCGCGGGTAAAGTGTTAAGTTAATGCAATCTTGGCACTCAAACTTGAGTGGCATACAAATTTAATTTAATTAAATTGAAGATGCGGCAAATGAGTTTGTGAATCAAGCAAAATGCTTGTCGTTTCCTGGCAGAGTCCCCTGCAACTTCAACTGCAGCTAGACACCCACGCGGCCCACACAGGTGGCTCCGGATCCGAATCCAAATTCGCTTCCCAATCCGAATTCAGCGAGTGCATCCGACGACACTCGACTAAGACTGCTCATATGCTTAATTTGACACACTCTGACACTTTTTACGAGCTGCAAGATTTATTATATCATTAGCATTGCCAGGGGCAGCATCTGCGGATTGCTGCTGCTGCTGCTGCTGGGTATCTGACAACTACTAAACTAAAGCAAGAAATGTAATTTAAATAAACCCACTTCTTTGGGCTCTTGGATTTGGGCATGAGAAAATGTAGGTTTATGGGCCATCTGTTTTTGGGTAATTAACATGTTCATATGGCTAATTGCAGTGAGTTGTGAGTTTTTTAAATCGCGTAAAGATAGTTTCTAGCTATTTTGGGATGCCTGCCTTGAAAGTAACTTAACTAGAAAGTGAACAGTCGATTTAAATACGTATTTGAATTATATATCATATATCAATATCAAAGCCAAATAT